TTATTTTCGTAGAACAAGGTGAAGTGGTAGCAATCAGTTACGCATCTCGCTTGCGTTAAGCACTGACTACTCGCGGTGCTCTCTACCACTTTCGTTATGCTTATGCGTTTTTATAGCGTATTTTTTTTAAACAGACATTAATAAGTTTTATGTTTTGGAATAACGACAGTTTTACTGGCCAGCCAAAAGCTGGTTCTCTCAGCACGATACCCGGCCAGGCCAACGGAACAAAGCCGAAATCAGGGCGAAAATTATGCGGGTTTGACTTCTCAGAAACGTATCTGGAGTGCAATTTATGGCAGGTAATCCGATTAGTTGTTTTGGGCAACTAGCAGAGGACCTCGGGGTTTAATCTGGAAGACTTATTGAAGCGACAGCAGTCCAATCAGTGAAGAAAATGGGGTTTTTATACGGCAATAATTAGATTCGTCTGGCTAGACAATCAATGTCACCATTCCTGTTCAGGCGGGGCATTCAGGATTTAATTGCCGGAGATGAGCGGAATTAGCGTATTCCCTGATCGTTATTTATGGGAAATCGTAATTATCCTGCACATGCACATATTTTTACTGCCGGCCTTGACTCGCTCAAGATGGTACTTTGGCAAATGTTTATGTGGCCTTTTGACAGCCTGTGCAAGAACGGCCAGTTTTCCAGTCGTTTTATTACTGCCCATATAGCTTGGAGATAATGAGGCAAACCGTTTAAGACCAAGCGATAGGCAAAAAGATGTCATCTGAGCCTGCAATCACAGTTTTCGCTCAGAACTTCGCAACTGATCATGCAAGGAATATCTGAAGAAAGTGCGCCGATCTGTCGACAAGAATTTCTAAAAATTCCCAATCGTATCGATGACTCAGACGAGGTCGCCTGAAACCGGTCAAATGACATTTAGTTTTCTCAGCTTCGTGACTCCCACATTGCAACACCTACAACTGAAATATACAGGGTGATAACTGGTTTTGCCTTGAACGATGAGCAGACGATTTGCAACAGTTTGCGGAATTTCGCACTAACTGCACCAATCACCCAACTAGCAGTTGCCTAATAATAGACGTGTTTTGTCGGATGAACTTTAAAAGAAGCCGGATTCAATTAGCGTGCTTTCAAATGCAAAGAGCATATTTATATTGCTTTAGAATTAGAGCTATTAGAAGCAGAATCTGAGGAGCAAACGAAGTCGTCTAAAACAGGCTGGTTTAGCCTATGCGGATGGACTTGAAAGCAGACGTCCGATGGAATGCCGAAGACTAATATTGGAGTTGGAATCCAGTCTTCTATTTTCTTACATAATATTGGCACAATTGACACATGAAGGCCATTAATTTAATAGAACAGTCCACAGTGAGCCAGTGTTTGATGTGTTTTGTTCGCTTGATCGGCAGAAGAACTTCTCAGGCATTTATGGTGGAAAGGAGATCTTTCAAGAGAAAAAAAAACGCTCACGGACATTTTGTGGAAAATAATTCCTTTCTTTCACCAGTTTCATTGTTTTGATAGCAAAATTTAAACGGAATGTGGAAGTTATTATATTCTTATCTTTTTCTAAAAATGTTTGAATATCGTTTATTTCATTACGTTTCGGCGAGACAACAGCGCCATCATCAGATTTAAAATTTACACAAACTCATAATTGGTAAACATTACGTTCTTTAGGTCTTTTCTGCAAAGACCTAATAAAATAATACCTAAACCTAAATAAACGATATTCAAAAATTTTTACTTCACACTTTGACTGAGACCCATGAAAGATAAGAATATAATAGCAATTAGACGCAGTCAGGAAAATAAATCAGAATAGGGAATGTGGAAGATCAAGTGCCATTGGAGAAGACCAGCGAAAGGTGGATGACACTGTCGAACGATCCCAATAGGTTTGCATTCCATTCAGCCACATTAATTAGAATCTGTAAGGATTCAATTCT